ATTCCAAATTACAGGTACAGCATGGTCGATCAAGGTCTTGTCGATGAGCCAGTATTCTCTTTCTGGCTTAATCGTGATCCAGAAGCAGAAGAGGGTGGTGAGATTGTCTTTGGTGGCGTTGACCCCAAACATTACAAGGGAAATCATAGTTATGTTCCGGTGACACAAAAGGGTTACTGGCAGGTAGTTGAAGATGGATTATTTACCTATAGATTGGTTCTTCTTAGATAACATCATATCAAATTATCAATGGTCTTACTTTCCTTCTCCACGTCTTCTTTTGTTCTCATATATGTGTATATCCTTCTTTTACCAGTTCAAAATGGGAGATTTTCTTATCGGAAATCTATCAACAGGTAACTTCTGCAGCTATTTTAATCCAGAAGATTATCTTGTAATAAAAAAATTGAACTAAAAGAATACATAATTGTTTTGTTTCTGTCATGTTATTTCATTTTGACTCTTTAACTAGAGCAAGAATTGATGGCATCATGCTCTATACTGGAAGATTTGAGTGTGAAAAACTAAAACAATCCCTAATAAATTAGACCTGTCTTTTCCATTCTACCTTCAGGTTTTTGTAAGGGTGGTTGTGCTGCTATTGTCGATTCTGGAACTTCCTTGCTTGCTGGTCCAACTGTACGTTTCCCCCCTAAATATAACATTCATTTACATTTCTTATTATGTACATGGCTTTGTTGAACTTATTATGCCACTTCAAGGCAATAATAAAATTCCTTGTGAATTTCAGACGGTTGTTACTCAAATCAACCATGCCATTGGAGCAGAAGGAGTAGTAAGCATGGAATGCAAAGAAATTGCCTCACAATATGGAGACATGATATGGGACCTTTTGGTATCAGGGGTATGTTATACTTTTACCTCTTACCACCCTCTTACTCCAGCCTACTTCAATATCTGAAATTAACATAACTTGTTATTTTTCTGCAGGTACAACCAGACGAAGTTTGTTCACAGGTCGGTTTATGTCATTCCAATGGAGCTCAGTCTGTGAGGTGTGCAATCCTTAAATGTGAATTTTTTATTTTATTTTTATTTTTTGGCCTAAGTTTCTTGTTTGGTAGTATTATTATGAAACCCCGAAACCATGTTGATCTAATCTGTCGTATCTGCTTGAACTTGATTTGTTCCAGCGCGAATATTGAAATGGTTGTTGATAAGGAGTACAAGGACGGAACATCAGCTCATGATAGTGCACTGTGTACAGCCTGTGAAATGGCTGTTGTTTGGATTCAAAACCAGTTGCAACAGGATGGTGTAAAAGAAAAAGTGCTAGAATATGTGAATCAGGTGATTTTTATTATCTTCTGCTACAGCCGGAGAATTGGCTCGTAATGTTTGTGTTCAAACGTTGACTTTTATGTTTTGATAGCTTTGTGAGAGGCTACCTACTCCGGCGGGCGAGTCTGTAATTGACTGCAATTCCCTATCAGACATGCCAAATGTCACATTTACCATTGGAGGCAAAGCTTACACTCTCACTCCAGACCAGGTTAGTTTATTTGGTAAAGTTGCTTATTTTTCAATCTCAGCTTATGAATGGAGTTATGGAGAGGAAAAATTATAAATTTACTGAGCCTAATGTTATTTACTTGATCAATTGCAAATTTCTATTTGAGTTGCGATCTCCACTGCTAGAAACTCCTTCATAATTCATTCCGAAAAGATTTGTGTGTATCGAGTGGCTTTCAACTGTTGAGAAAAATCCCCGTCCCTAAACTGTTTTGTTTTGCTGGCAGTATATTCTCAAAACTGGTGAAGGTGTCTCCTCAATTTGCATCAGTGGATTTATGGCTCTGGATGTACCTGCACCTCGTGGACCTCTGTGGTACGTTATATTACGGTTATACTACATGTACATAATGGTCTACACACATGATGTGGTGAAATAATATTGAGTCAGATTACTTTCAACCAAATTTATCGATGTGGTGAAATAATATTGAATCAGATTTCTTTCAACCAAATTAAAAATAAAAATAAAAATAAAAAATTTATATACATACACTTCTCCACCTGTTTTTTGGGCACCTCAGCTGTAAGTCATTAAGTATAAGTAGCATTATTCTTTATTTTCTGCAGTAAACATTCGTCCTCTGGCCCGTCCTTGAACCAATGGTGAAATTGTCCTAAGCTTATTCTAAATATTCTCATACGTGGGTGCAGGATTCTTGGAGATGTGTTCATGGGCGTTTATCACACTGTATTCGACTCTGGAAATCTTCAACTGGGTTTTGCCGAAGCTGCATGACAAGCACTTTTTAGGCGAGGACATGTCATGTAGTCGTTAATAGTTGCTATTAAGCAAACTTGACATATGGCCTGTGGCTGTATCGTGTAATTTCTATATCTATCGTTGTGGCTTTTGATTTGGGATTTACTTGTATGTATATGCAATGCTATCTTCTTGTTCCAAATGAGATTCTGCAGTTGCTAAACACCTAATTTGAATCATTTCTACATGTAATTGATAAATGCCTCTGCTCCATTTCATGTGTGGCCATTGACAATTTGCATGCAAAAATTCCTGGATTAGGCAACCCAAGAATCTTCCATTTATCTTCTCATTGATCAAACAGAAAGCCAGAAAGTGTCCGAGATGCTTGAAGATGACAAACGTAGAATGGATGGGAAATGCCAAGAATTCAACTAAGTTTGTTCAATTATATGCTAAAGAAATTCGTTTTCGTTATGATGCGAACCAAATATTCCAAGTGCAAAAAAGATTATTTAGAGAGATGTTATCAGTCTTGAGCAATAATTTTCAAAGTCAAATCAGTCTAAAAGCCAAATATTCTGTTCACAATACGAAACTTCGTAGTAAAAATCTAACAAATAATTTAGAGTCAAGGCCTGATTATTCAGTTGTATATATTTTATCAAATTTCATTTTTTTTTTCAAACTCATTTTTAACTACATTTTTTCCTAATAAATAATTATGCATTTGTATTCAGAATTTTTCTTTACTTTTTAACCCATATATTCTTCAAAAAAGAAAAAATAAATCACTTTTTATAAAATCTATTCTTAAAATATCTACTCCAAACATGTTAGTTTTCTAGAATTTTGACATGTGAAATTAATTTTTTAGCATTTTAGTAATTTAAATTACGGGTATGAGAGTGGATGAAAAATTTTGTGTAATGAGTAAGAACTTTGAATCATTTTATTGGTTTTGACAGTATTACCCCTTTATTTTTAAAATATATAACTATTTTTACTTAAAAATAAGATAAATGAACTCCTTGAGTTTTTTTTTTTTTTTTTTTTTCTATAAGTAATAATTTTAAAAAGCTACAAAATTTCGCCCCCATTCTGTACCCATTTTTTAATTCAGCAATTCCTCTGTAAATGCTGCCACTGTTTTTTTTTTTTTTAATTCATTAATCGATCGATTGTTATCAAGTGTCATCTGTATGAATTCTGACAATCATTTTCTATTCATACAGCAAATCTGTTTTCAACTAGTGTGGGTACCATGTTAGACAAAAAGGGCGATGGCAATCAGAATTTGAGGCCTCATGCGTTTGGAGTTGTCAGTTCAATTTTGGTGTTTCAAACTTTCCATTTCTACCCTTCAATATCTTTATAGGTGGCTTTTGCAAGTACATTCCAATTGCATCTAAGAGCAAAATAATCATCAAGGCTCAATGGCATTATCATTCTTAGGATAAAGCTCTTTTTTTTACAGAGGTTTTATCGACCCTTAACATGGGATCGGTCCCACGTGGACTCCGATGTAATAAAAAATGAAGAAAAAAATCTCGACCCGACCCCTTTGTGAGAGCCCTGTAAGGATTCTGTAATGTGTTGGGCGTCATTCTTATATCCATCTCTGACAAAAATTTTAGAGGATGTACCGTGTACCGAACAAATGCGGTAGGAAAATGAGATGTGTTTAAAAAAAACTAATGATGAGCATCAAACGGGAACGAAGTAAGTTTGCCTTGTCCAAAGTACTGAAAATTATTGCCATTACTCTTGATAAAAATTAGTCCACTCATTGTGCAAGCAGAACAGCACATTAATTCCTAAACAATAGAATATTTCTGTCTCTTTTCTCGAATTTAATTATTTTAAAGCACTTAATTTATTTCGAAAGATATCGTTTAAAGAGCCGTTTAGCTCTAATTTCACTCCTTTTAATCCCAGCCATCGACCAGATTGTGGTCTTCAGGATCTGTAGATTTATTAGTTCACCACCACCACCCTTTATACCCTCGCCCAGGTACTATAAACACCACAACTTCACAGGCATCGGGAAATCTAAAAACACCTTATTCTTAATCCCCTCAATGTTGAAGGCAATGTCGGAAGCTGCAAAGAAAGTAGTGCTTTAAGCTTTACTTCATTTGTATAATGTTCTTCCCGGCTCGTCAGCCAATGGTATGCATAAGTTCATTAATAAAGGGCCGAAAAGTGTACTGAATCTTTCTATATTCTTATTCCTTCGGTTTTTTATTCACTTTTATAATATGCCTCCTTATTTGTGATGTATATTTAAATCGATTAAAATTTCAAATGAAAGTCAACAAAAATTTAATTTAGGAGCTACCTAACCGGATTATTTTTTTGCTACATTAGACGTAGTGCAAGATTTTGTGCATTGCATCGTAGCAACTAAATCATCTTTTATATATTTTAGGTAAGTATGTATCAAAAATAAATTGACAATCGATTAAATAAGATTATATAGTTATGGGTTGGTTGACAAAGAGTTGAAAAAAGTTGTTGATACAATAAAATAGAGGTTAAAATTGAAGTTTGATCACACTAGATATGGCAAGTCGACACTATTAAAGATGCATCTTCACTCCTCGACTCTAAGCAATAATTTGCAAAAGACAAAAGATGACTTCTACGATATTATAAAAAGTGTGTGTGTGTGTGTGTGTGTGTGTGTGTGTGTGTGTGTGTGTGTGTGTGTATATATATATATATATATATATATATATAGATCGACGAACTCCATAAAAATTTAATATAAAAAACTATAATTTTTAGCAATTATTCCTTCTAATATACAAAATGGGTGGCAAGGATTAAAATATACGGTCACCTAACATAACGGCTGGAGGTACGATAATCTCGATCAAAATATAACATCAAAAGGCTCGACACGCACAATCTCGTTATCACTGCTACAGACTACTTCACCAAGTGGGTGAAAAGAATACCAATGGCTAAGGCGTCGATGGGAAAGGTGTGGCATGCTTCATTTACACTCATATTCTTTATGGCTTAGGTCGATAAGTCATTCGTCCTCTCTCTCTACGGTCGAGCTCCTTCGGATCCTCGAGTTCTCTTAGCTCCTCAGCCTCGTTTATTCTGATATCGAATCTTCTCAGCCCTCCTAAAGTTGCTGAATACTTCAAGAAAGGGAGTAATCAATGAGCAGTCAAACCCAAGAGAAGTCAAATGTCTAGCCTCCCTCTTACCATTCTTTAGCTGGCGAATTCAATGAGGGATTCTTTAGCCAAAAGACGGTAATTAGCACCAGCCACCCGAGCAAGGGTAGAAAACCGCTGGAAAGGGTACTTCATATGAACCGCCATGGATCCACATGGATGGTGGGAGTTTCAAAAACTCCGAATTGAGATAGGAGAGAGATCTTTTCTCAATTCCCTAACCCTGAAGCATTTAGCAAACTCCGCAGAACCGATCAAGGACTTTTGAGAACTTATTGTTACCCCCAATCCACCCAAAGCAGATTCATAGACTTTGGCGACTTCCTGATCGGCAATGACATCTCGGGCCTCCATTATCACAGGACCGGCCCTGCCCCCAAGGTACTATAAATAGCACAACTTCACAGGCATTGGGAAATCAAAAAACACCTTATTCTTAATCCCCTCAAAAACCCTCCTAGTCTACTGTAAAAATGGCAGGAAACAACGGGCAGAAGAAGTCATCTTCTTGTTGTATCTCTCTTTTCAACATCTTCAAAGGCAAAAGGCCGAGGGGTCGAAGGGCAGCTGAAGATACAACTCCTCCAGATTCTTTAAAGGGAATCAAAAAGGAAGCTTCTGATTACAGCTCTTCAACCGAACAGAAGTGGAAAAATGAAGTAGGTCCAACTGTTGAGCAAAATGTTGAAGAACATAACAAAACAGCAACCTTGAATTCATCGGAAGATGATAAGCTCTTGAAAATGTTAATCACAAGTAGTTTGCAGATGTAAACAAACATTGATACAAGTTCAAATCAAGCAATATGAACATGAGTAAGAACTTGATTGCGTGTAGATTGTTATTATAGTGGTGAGTTGTGAGTTGCAAATAACAGAATGTATGAATAAAATTAAGCCTTGCTCAAGGTGTTGACACATAAAAATTCAGCCCAAGTCGAACAGCCCAAGGAGTAAAGCCCAATTGGAGAATCCCCAAAACAGACAGCCCAAAGAATGAAGTTCAATCAAACGAGTCAAGGTGAAGGCCCAAACAAGAGGCCCAAGAATGCGGTAATGCCATCGCCCAAGTTTGCAAGTCGCTCAGAATCTGAACGAACGGGTGTCATACGGTCGCCCAGAGCTGTTATTCTACTCTCGCCCAAACCTTCAAGTCGCCTAAGGTGTCAACAAACATAACGCATCGTAATTATCAAGGAATGCAGTTATCAAGGCAGTTGTTAAAGTAGCCTTATCACGTTCCACAACTCAAGGAAGTCAATCGAAGGCAGTTGGACGATGAAAGATAATGACAGCAGTTAAAAGGCGGTTTCATGACAAAATGGCCACTACAAAGAAAGTGGGTAGTTATAGGACGATCAAGCAGTTTTCAGAGTAGTTAATCACAAAGAGATCGTCTATGAGGTATAAAAGGGAGAAAAGGCGTAGAAGCAAAGGACCGAATCCAAAACTCTTGAACAAGAGAATATGTAATTTTCATTTCTTTAGACTTAAACACTTTCCTTTCTGTAACTCGTGTGCTTGCGCCCCTTGGAGGCACGTTGTTTTTTCGTTTCCAATTGTAAAGTTCATCGCCAATAAAAGAACACCTCTTTTTGGGACTTTGTCTCAAGAGGTTTCGTCCCTTACACAATCGTCTGATCCCCTTTAATTGTTAGCGAGTTAACCCGCGCGAAACAA